TCTGAACATTGTACCTTCGCAACCGATTCTTTTCCCGCGTGGGCAGGACTACCGTCATCGTTAAGACTTTTTCTCCATCTATTGATGCCACTCTGTCTCCCATCTTATGCGACCCATCAGCCCAGCAGGACTGTCACAGACACTCACAAATCTGATTTAGACCACAAATGCCGCTCAACCCGTCCATTGCTCTCTCACCCTCCCGCACCTCGGGTGGTCCGTCGCGGACAGCAATTCAACGAAGACACTTTACTTCTGAAAATGGTGCTGCGTCGTTCATGATCGTCCTCCTCGCACCGGACCCTAATTTGCCGGGTCAGGCTTTCAACGCCTGCACTCCCACTTGATAGACAAATTGCTTTTCCCAGGCTCCGGGTTCATACATTGTTGACTTTGGGCGCAAATATCATCCTTGTCCGGGAAGGCAACACTTGTTCGAGGCAGATGGACCATCTTCAGACTGTAGACAAGTGGAACCGATGGGCGTGCTCCTCCCAATTGACGCCCACAAATCACCTCTTATAGAATGGATTTACGAATAATTTTACGCTGTTCATATTCCTGATTTTACTGAAAGAAAAAATGAAAATGACCTGTTTTTCCCTACACCCCCTAAAAATGCTACTCCTAAATTGTCTAGACGTCTGGGCATGGAAGGCATTATTTCGAGGTTCATTGATTTTGCATTAAACTTTATACTTTTTCACATCACGTAACATCTTTCCTGGCCCAATGGCGATTACTAAAATAGATTATGCATGGGAATTTGTTGCCCACTCCCCTGCAAACGGCCCTCCCCTCCAGGTTGGACCGAAGCTTCAATCACACCTGATCGTCTCTTCATCCACCCTGTGGACGTGTGCACTCTGAGGGGAGCATGTCTACCAACAAACCACACGACCCTAGCCAAGTTGAGTTACACGATGTGGCCGGCTTTCAGTGAGAAGCGCGTATAGTGACCCTGGCATCGGTGTCATCCATTATCTCGTCACATTTTTGCTCACTGTACATTAGACAAGCCGATCAAACGGTTAACTTCAGGCCCTTCATGTCTAATTAGTCCCGTCTGTATGAGGCAACACATCGAGCCCTTCTTGATACCCACTGCCCACTGCAAGCACGTCCTCAAGCTGACCTTTAAAAGTGGCATTGCATGTGTGAACTCCCAGTCTTAGGCCATGCTACAACTGCCCTTCACTCCCCCATTTGGTACTGGGGTCACGCAGTTTTTTCCATCATGTCACTCAGTTATACGTTTCAACATACATCCTGCAGGGCGGGACACATTTTCTCCCATTGCTCACTAATGCCAGCGCACACTCATCCCATGCAACACTCACATTAAACAAAAAAGAAGTCTCCTTCTGTTGGCCCACAAAATAGGTATGCATATATATGCATACATATCTATATATATGAAATGACATATGATATGAGACAAGAGAACACATACGATAAGAATAGACCTGGAGGAAGGAGAAAATGCATTTGTTATATTTGGCTGGCGCAGAAGTGGCAAATGTTTCGATAAGTCTGCTGAGACTTTGTTAATTGAATTAGAAAGCGACTAGCTTGTCGTGCAAATGGATCGTCAAAGTGTGGAGCGGAGGCCTGGCACAAAAGTGTGACAAGAAGGTGTGTCAAATTGCTGCCAGTCTTCTGATCTGCGGCTTATTCTTACCTTATCTGGTCACTTGTCTCATATCTTCAACTTGGGTTCTTCGGCCTAAATAAATCATCATTTTATCTCAACATTTCATTCGAATCACAAACATGCCTTCTTCAGCTCAAGCTTTCGCTTCGATTTGTAATGATTCCATTTGTTTATTGCCACTACAGAACATCGCTCTTACATTTGTAGGGCATATTTTGCAACTGGTCAACTTCATCTATTTTAACTATACGATACGAAGAGTAGCTTGGTTTCTGAATCTCCCGAAATGACCTTGTTCTAGAGACTTTCGTTTCGCATGAAATTGCAAGATATAGGTATTTGTCGACTGATCTCATCAGAGGACGACGCTTGTTTCTCGTTGTTATGCTGCCGTTTGACTTTAATGCAATCCAAGCGGCGTCCTCCTTCATTCCTGACATAAACGAGCTGAGCTCATGTCTCCCGCTTTTAGCGAATCACATGGCAAGAGGCAGAATCTCTGTTCCCAATCGCTTATATGAGATGGATTCATCCAATTTAGTTTAGGGTAATGAAGGACTGAAAATTGAATTTATCCATGGTGAAATGAGTATAGTTGACTCTTCATAGCCTTACGTTCCCAAAAGATATTCTCATCCAGGCTGAAGTGGACTGGAGTTTCAACCTGGCCCTCAGCGGGACTCGAACCATGACAGTGCAACGTATAAATCCGACGCATCAGTCACTATGGAGCATTGCCACGAGTTCCCGTGGATCACAGGGCAGATGTGAATTTCATGGATGGCCAGTTATTTTCCCATATCACATTCTTTGGTGGAATTGTCACATAAGCAAAGTTATATTTTCTATAACAATCGACAACATTGTATGGAAGTTGTTTGACCCAGTTTGCGCAACTTGATCATATTCACAGAAAGACCAAGAAGAACGCACCTTGTCCGGAGTCCATTGTAGGCATGATAATTTCCATTGTCGGACCGTAGGCTTGGTACATTTTCAGACGTTTCGCCGGCATCGTAGTCGGCATCGTCAGTGAATATCGACATTCTTAGCACCATACAACAACTCGTCAAAGAGACAAGCGGTTTGCCTATTTGAGGATGCTAAGAATGGCGATACTCACTGACGATGCCGGCGAAACATTTAAGAATGTACCACGTCCACGGTTCAACTTTGGAAATGATGATGCATACAATGGACTCGGGACTGA